TGTAAATTAATGGAATTAGTAAATATATAACGTGTATACGAAAAGCATCCATACATAGTAGTAACATAAAATTGTCATATAAAATAAAATTATAGCATTAAAACACATTTTTCTTTGCATAATTTTATACATGATGCTACAATTTACGTATTAGAGCAATAAAACAAATTTATTTTCATTTTTGTAATTTTGTTTTTACATAATGTAAAAGATATTAAAAGATTCGATTTAATGAGATTATTCTTCTTAGTGAAAACTTAATTAGTTTTGCACGTCATTGTAAATAATTAGCATGTGTCAAACGAAACTGTCCAATTGTATTAATTATTCAAGTTACACTCATGTATTAACGCATTACAGTTTGCGGGCTTGGGAGAAAAACGAGAATTGTTGGTGGCAATGTTACCAGCGTTTATGATTACCCCTGGCTTGTTAGTATGAGTAAAAAAGGCACATTTTACTGTGCTGGAAGTGTAATAACACGGAAACACGTACTTACTGCGGCTCACTGCTTGCAAGGGTATGTGTCAAGCAATTACAATCGTATATTTAATTTCGGAATTATGTTACAACATATCTACATAACTAAAATTATTTTCAGATTTAATATTAAAACCATAAAGCTTGTTTTGATGGATAGCGATCGTTCCTCTGTAAACAGAAACGCTATAGTTCGACGTATTAAATCGGCAACCATTCATGAGAACTTCCATAGTTATACCTTTAATAATGATATCGCAATCATAGAGATGGATGAACCCGTATCTGTGAATGGTATTGTACGAACAGCATGTTTACCAGAAGGCAGTAAGTTACTTTTAACATCAACAAAGTATTTATAATGTTATAATATTACATTTACTAAAAGTTTAACATTTAAGTTTCTGATTCTCAATCATTCTCAATCTTTCCTTTTATCTGGTATCTTTTCCGTATAAATTAATTATTACATACAAATATGTATGTGCATTGTTATGTTTTGTGTATTGTTATGTTATTTACTTAAATGACATCTAAATTAATTATTGCCTGCAAATAATAGTCAATGAATCGCGCACACACTGTTAATTACTAATAATCTTCATTGAACAAGTTTTAAATTTATTATATGTTTTTAAATTCCAATATTATACTTAAACATTTAGGTAACAGGTTTTATTTCAATAGAATTCATGTTAATGCAATTGGGCGTAATAGATATTAATTAAAATTTAAACATTACAGAAACAATTGATTATACTGGAGCGCTCGCTACCGCAGTGGGATGGGGTCGAACAGGAGAGACCAAGCCGGTAAGTAACGAATTGCGAAAAGTCAATCTACCAATCTTATCACAAGAGGAATGCGATCAAGCTGGATATGCGAAGGATCGTATCACTGAAAATATGTTTTGTGCCGGCTACATACTACATCCGGAGGGAGCGATAGGAGGACGAGACGCTTGTTTTGTAAGTGTTAACTACAATTTTAAATAAATAAGAACAATTGATACTTCTGAATTAGAAATAGCTTTAGTGCATAAAAAATATGTGCACACATGCTCATACGTGCATACGTGTGTAAATTATTTATAATATTAGCGGAAGACTGTCATTAAGGTCAATATTCATAATCAGTTCTTATATTCAAGACCGCTTCTTAAGTTCTGCTTTGAGATATCACGAACCAATTAGAGGACTGCATTAGCATCTTAAAACATTACTTAAGACGGTCTTGAAATAAGAACCGACTATGAATATCAGCCTAAGACATTTCGTTAATAAAGTTTCTAGTATTGAATATTATATTATATAATAAATTAATACGACATGGCGTAATTTATTACATTATCGTATTAAATATCAATATAATAAACAATAATTTAAAAATGTCTTTTTCAAAGAATAAAATATACTATTTTTTCGCACTATTATTTCTGTATATATTTTTCATTTTTATTTTCGTTTTAAGGGCGATAGCGGTGGTCCTTTACACGTTAAAGGAATTTACGGACAGCTTGAAGTAGTAGGTACGTATTTAATAATAATAAATTAAAATTTTATTTTATATATTTATAACTTAAAATTTTTTAAATTTAATTTTAAGATTAAAATAATTTTTTTTAAATAAAGTTAAATATAAAGTTAAATAAAGAAGTGCAGCCGTCTTATATTTATAAAAGCCAAATAAAAATATATATTTTTATGTTTTTCTTTAGGTCTGGTTTCTTGGGGACGAGGTTGTGGAAGACCACATTTCCCTGGAATATTCACTAAACTAACAAATTATATTGGATGGCTTAAAGATCACTTAGACGACGAATGTATTTGTCCTCCACCGCATCGGCAATAACATAAATTTGTTACTTATTGTTATTTTGTGAGAATTGCACGTAATTATCAGAGAAGCAGTAAATGTTGAATTTTATTTTAATATTTATTTGATCATTATATATAAATTCATGAAAAGAATAGACAGTAATAGGGAAGAGAATGTTTTGATTCTTTTAAATTCATATTTTAGTTTGATCATAGATATATGTTTTTGTCTTATATGTCTCAAAATATCTTTTTACGAGCGTTTTATAGTAGCTCCTGTTTAAACGTACAAATACTATATCTATTTTCTCAGAATCATCGTAACATTACTGTATATTTTCGCGCCATTAATTTATTGTAACTATTAATATGTGTATATATATATAATATTATATATGTGTATATATATATATACATGTATGTAATGTTACATGCATCTAGTCCAATACATCCACTTATACGGGACCTATAGTTTTAACGGTTCCGAATAGTTTATTAGAAAAGGTTATCATGGCAAAAATGTTCTTGATTTGCCATTGCTTTCTGAGAAGGAACGATCAAATAAAATTTGATATATGTGTATTCTGGGTGTAATGGGAATTGAATTCGGATCTTTGGCATAAAGAGCAGCCATGCAACTCTCTATGCCACGATCATCATACACGCCAATGTATATATAATAAAATATTTATGTACTGCGATATTGTGCTACAAATGTCCTGTAAAGTAAAAGAATGTATATAGTAATAAAAACGTGTAATAATTAATTTTTATGTCCATAATAATATTATATTGTATATAAAATGTGTGTAAGATTTACAAGTAATATATTCGGTTATCAACTGGAAAGACTTAAATCTTATTGTGTTCTACTTTTCTCTTCTTCTTTCTATCCCATAATTTTATTTTAATGAAAAAAGTTGTAAAATAACTTAATATGTAAATTATAATCTATATTGGACGTGTTTCTTTTTCTTATCTGAAGAAAAGGTTATTTATCAGATTGTCGCAATGCAGTGATGAAGTCCTGTTGTTGTGTTGTGTGAAATATTAAATATTACCAATTTATTACTCTCTTTATCGAAAAGAAATGTTATGATATATATTTTATGATATATCCCTGTCGAAAAATTAATAATTTCAGAACACGTTTTGTGTCATATTAATTTATTTTATTTCTTAAAACATTCAATATTAATTTACAAGCAATATGATTTTGCCATTATCAGTTACCAGCGAGTGACATGTAATTTATTTATTTGTGTTAAACGTATATAACACACATATCTTGACTTTATTATTATCAAAATTTCTTACTTCTTAATTTATTGTGTATAATGACGTAATTAAAGCGATATTTAGACGGTCTTCAGGTAGTACTACATATTGAAAAGGATCAGAAGCGTAGAGCGAAATGTATGTATTGGGTATGGGATAAGTTTCCGCCCTTTTTTAATGAAAAAGATGTATTTATTTAAACAAAATAATACAAAGTGAGTTTATTCAAAATATGCTCCGTCGGAAGCGACAACTTTTTTCCATCTTTCCGGTAATAAACGGATTCCTCGAAGGAAAACATCTAGTTCTTCTGAAGCGATCCATTCATCAAGCAATTTTTTGATACCTTCATAAGAATTGAATCGTTCTCCAGAAAGGGCCTACTGCATAGACCGGAACAAATGTAAATCTGAAGATGCAATGTCCGGTGAATACGGCGGGTGAGGCAGAATTTCCTACTTCACTCCTTCCAAATATTTCTTGACCGGTTTTGCAACGTGTGGCCTATTGCAGCGTTGTCATGTAGCAGAATCAGCTTGTTGTGCCTATTATCCCATTCCGGCCATTTTTCTTTCAAAGTTTGGTTCAAACGTATCACTTGCAGTCGATAACGATCGCCAGTGATGGTTTCTTCGAGTAATGCTTGCAATTCTGCATCTTCAAATTTTTTCGGTGCACCTTCGCGTTCTTTGTCACGCACGTCGAAATCACCATTATTGAATCGCCGAAATCATTCTTTACAAGTAGTATTCGATGGAGCATGCTCATCATAAATATACGAGCAAACGATACGTTTCCGCAGCACTTTTCTTTAAAATGAAATAATGGAGTAAAACTTCCCGCAAATGTTGCTTTTTTGGAATAAATTCCGAAACTTTCAACACAAAAAAAGTTACTCTACCCTTCGAACAAATGCCAACTACTGGGCTCAAAAACTTGAACACTCACCTTTCAAATACATGCATTACCGTTTTATCAAACACCCAAGCAGTGATACTAATGACATCTCTCTACAATGGGGGGGGGGGGCGGAAACTTATTCCCATACCCAATACATTTTATAAAATAAATCAATTTTCACACATACAACCATTGGCTGGCTCAACAAGGCATTATACATTTTCATTGACAATATTATCTTAAAGTAAATGTTATGTTAATTTATTTAAACTTCACCGCTTAATGTGTGTGTGTGTGTGTGTGTGTGTGTGTGTGTGTGTGTGTGTGTGTGTGTGTGTGTGTGTGTGCGCGCGCGTGCGTGTTAATTTCATCTTATATAATTTTATTTTAATTTTCAGTTGATAAATATAGATCTTGGGAATTACATCACTCAATACCTTATTAGGATGGCGAGGAGTATATAAACCTGTAGAGATAATACAGCAGCATTACTTCTAAAACTACAGTACTGAAGTTGAGAAAGTCATGGCAAGTCCAAAAGATTACAATACGTTTAATAAAGTTCAAAGATATAGAATATCGGTTATAATTGAAGAGTTTGCTGAGAATCTAGTGAAAATAAGTGGAAAGTGTATGGATATCGGTTGCGGTCCTGGAGATACAACAAAGGAATTTCTGTTACCGAATATAGATTCAAATGGACAAATAATTGGTAAAAGAGTAATAAATCGTAAAGTTATAATGTGACAAAATCATAATGTGACAAAAATCGACATTATAAATAATTATTCAATTAAATGCTTTTGCGAAGGTACGGATATTTCGGAAAGCTTGATCAAATATGCAAATGATACATTCAAAGACGAAAAACGGCTTCAATTCGACATATTGAATATTGAAACTAAAAATTTACCTAAGAAATATATTTCTGAATTTAATCATATATTTTCGTTTCACACTTTACAATGGTGCAACGATATCCGGTAAGCAATATACTATATAAAACATAATTTCAACTAAAATACGTTTGAATTCTTAAATAATAAAAATAAAAAGATTTCTGGAATTCAAATAAATCAAATAAAAAATAGGGCTATAGGCATCAGCGCGTATCGCAAAGCGCAAGTAATTTAATAAGAACTCACTTTAATTAGCGACGTATACATGGAGTAACACAAATCGCAGTTATTGCAATTCTTATTGATTAAAATTCTTAATTCTTATTGCCTAAACATTATTGATAGACTTTTTAATCAAGCTTAAATTAATTATTTCTTTCAAACATATTTATGCATGTGCGTATGCATCTTTAGAGTAAAACTAAAAAATTAAATTAAACTTCTCTCTGTTTCATTTAACAGACAAGCCTTAGAAAATATTTATCAAATGCTACAACCTGATGGAACTATGCTTTTGCAAATAGTGGCATCTCATGATATATATGAAGTTCTCAGAATTTTGGCGCAGGACACTCGTTTTGCATCATATGTACCTGTAATATATTATTGACATATAATTATAATTTAATTTACTTTTTAACTATTTTTGATATTTTTATTACATGTTTTATCAAAAGTTTCTTTTAATTTAATTTTGAATTGTAAATTATTAATTATTAATCTTAATTTTATAAAGGAAGCGATGAAAAATGTTTCGCCATACCAAGAGTCAAAAAATCCTCGCAAAGAGTTGAAAGAATTACTTGGAAGTATCGGATTTACAGTTTACCATTGCAGTCTTCGGGAGGCGAGCTATAGTGATAAAACATCAGAATCCTTTATCAGTAAGTCATTTAAAAAGATATAAAAAGTAATTTTATGTTATAAAATTATTAGTTTACTTTCATATTTTTTATTTATTTATAATTTATAATATCAACTAATTTTTTACTATTTACATATACATGTTTTTTAATAGATTCAATATTATCCATCTTGACATTTTTTAATGACATGCCAAAAGACCTGATGAAAGACTTCAAGAATGTATTTCGACATGAATATATGAGAAGAAAGATTAACTACATATCAATACATAATAATGAAGATTATACGTTGGATCTATATAAAGAATTAGTAGTATACGCACAAAAGATTATATAACAATTGCATAAATATATATATCATCATAAAATACCAAGAATAAAAGACAACATTATAGCACTAATTTAAGGACTAACAAATATTTATATACTAATATTATAACATTAATACTACTAATTAATAAATTCTTTATAATTAACATCTCATATTATATTCTATATCTAGATTGATATATTTGGTGTTTGAATAAGTTTCCGCCGTTTTTGTAAAATTTTGCTTTTAAACATTTGCTAATAATTGATTAATCAACATTTATTGCCTCTAATAATTCTTTCAGCGTTTGACATGGATCTTCATCAAGTAATGCTTCCAGTTCATCTTTCAATTTTTCGATGCAAATTCACGTTCTTTATCTTTTATCGAAATCATCACTTCTAAAGCTAAATTTTAATATTCTAAAAGTATGCTAAGAAATACAGTACATATTAGTGTAGATGCGTTCCACACTCGCGACGCTTATGGAATTATTTCAATTTTGTCGTTTATTAAATATTAAACAAAGAAAAATATAATTGCGAGCGTTGTGAGCGCCCAGTGTCAAGTCCATTCGAAGTATAAAAGATAATGAATAAAGGAAGGAGTTCTGTTAAATATTGCGCATGCGTTTGATCTCGGTATCTGCTATAGATTGTTATACCAAACAGCATTTAGCCGTGTTCAACAGAAGTCAGTATGTACTTTGCGTCGATAGGATTATACTTCTAAATTTAGAATTCTATCTTATTATTAGTGAAGAAAACGTCCAATAGTTACAAAGTAAACATTTTATTAAATATGGACAATGATTGTTTTTAAGTGTGAGATTAGTTTTTTGAATACATATTTATCATATATTGCATTTATATGACATTTGATATATTCTCTACCTTACTTTAGTTTACATATTTTTTATTGTCTCAGACGTGAGACAAATAATATCACAAACAATACAACGAAAGAGCAAAAAATGAAAGCAATAACGATTTAAATTTAGTTTAAATAAAGTAATCTCAGATAATATGGTCATACACGCAAAAAAATATTTTGTTGCTTCAGCTAGAATTATAGCTGTTTTTTATACATTAGCCGTTATTAATGGTACGTAATTAATGACGGCTTCTGTGTCTGATAGAAAATTATGTATCATACGCATAGAATTTATAACACAAATCTAAATTCTATCTCTGTCATCTATGTGATTACATGCAATACATATCCAATATCGCAGTTTTTTACTTCCTAGAAATCTACCTATTTTAACTATTTTTTGTACTGTTAAATAATTTTCGCTATAACTGCAAGATCACTTTTCTAAGTGTACGGAAAAGATGCCCATGAACTGTAATTTCTCTAATAATTTATAAATAGTGCATTTTTGTAGTTATTCTCAAAGATAATCAATATTTACTATAGTTTATGTGCGTTTATTTAAAATAACTATATTGTGAAGAGTCGATACGTAATATTTTTACTTTCGACTGTCTGCAAAGTGTTTTGTTGTGCGCCCTAAAAGCTGCTAGAGTATCAAATAAATTATATACGAGTATAAGCTGCCGTAATCAACGTTACATACATAATAAAGGTACGTAAATTGCAACGTGACTATATAATAATTTGAACTTTAATTTTCATTATTTGTTTATAAATACTATGTCCATCTTTCCGTCATAGTTTGGAAAAGATGGCTCGAAACCGAGTAATACGAACACATTATTTTTTTTTAATTATAAAAATATTTATAGAACTTTTATGTCAATATTGCAGTTTATAATTATAACCAAGTTATATACAATTATATATACACATTTGTACTAAATATACGAAATTATGGGTTTTATTTAGTATTTTACAAAACAAAACCCATAATTTCGTCAATATTAATAACGTAGAAATACCACAAAATGTTAAATCAGTATTGCAACTAGGACAAAAATTTAACTTACCAAATAATAGTAATAATAATGAGAAAATAATCATAGAGTTTATTAAACATATTGAAAACAACATCAATACATTAGATGGGAACACTAAAAATGCTATAAGAAACGATTCAATTCAAGTTTTAAAGAAAACTAAATACAATAATCAGGTCGCTAGTATAGAGAACAATACATTAAAAGAAGGAATAAATTCAGTAAAACAATTCATCGGAACATCCAGATATCTTAATTACATGAGCAGATAAAGGGAATTCGACTGTAATAATGAACTTAACAGAGTATTATAAGAAAATGCATGAAATTTTATTTAACAATAACACATATATAAACATTAACAAAAATCCTACAAATATGATGACAAATCAAACACACACACTATTGACTAGGTGGAAGAAAAAGAGATACATAGATCAGTCTACATACAATAAATTGAATGTTTTGGATAGTACAGTACCGAGATCCTATAGGATGCCAAAGATCCACAAACAAGGAAATCCATTAAGAATAATTGTTATTGAAATGATTTTTATTAAAAAACAAATTAATGGTCTGAACAAACAGAGTGATACGGGAAAATTACCAAAGATTTACTTTCCGTTGCTTAGCATAACTCCCTCTACATAATACCATTTTACCCTCTCCTTCGAGTCATGTTGGATATATAAAGCTGTGTATCATAATGAGAATTCAGTAGAACATTTGAATTATTACAACAAGACATCCACTTTCGATATTAATCTTCACAAGTTGACTGGAACATAGGTACTAATTTTTATAAGGTATAACTCGAAACATGAATTTTAAACTTTGAATTAATCAAGAAATATTGCGATCATTAGAATCTGGAAATTTTGCGTTCAATGAACAACTTATTACAAACATTTGAAATATCGAAAAAATTGGAATAAAAGATGAAATTCTCTGGATATTATTTGAAACTCTTGGACTAACATCAACATAAAGAATAAGGAAAAATAAATTTAACGAGCGTTCTTGCGTAATATTTAGACATGTTAGGAGATAATTAGCTTAGATCGTACATGTGTGTGTTAAAAGAATTGTATACTTAACTCTTATATACTGAAGATGGCCTAATTTAAAACCGAAACGTCTAATCATTTGTAACCCGATTATGTGTTGGAATTAAATATAAACTTCACTAAAAACATCTTGTGTTTGTGGTATGTACCCTTATCTTTCCGTTTTTAAATAGCTTACTATTTATAGTAATAATTGTCTTACAAACTGTCTTACAAAAGTCAGAAATGTGTCGAAATGTTGCACTAGCTCGTTTTGTAATGAAAATTAATGAAACACGAAAATGTTATAGATGTTTTTTGTAACTCGGACAAAAAAGATTGGATGATAAAAATGTTTCTATAAACTTTTTGTGTTGTTTTTGTAATCTTTCGTCTTGAATTTAGTTTTGAATTATGCTCACTTTTTATAAAATAAAATATAAAATGTACACACACATATATATATATATATATTATATATATTTCTTGGTATAACTATGTATCAAATTACATTGATAAAAACATACATCTTAAAAAATGACAGCATACATGTGTATAATGCAAATAATGTAAATTTATATTTAAGGATTTAATTTTATTTTTTAACACATTCGGATATGTTACAGATATTTCCAGTATTTTTGAAATATATTCTTGTTCTTAATGATGATAACCATTAATAATGATATAATAAAACGTCCTTATAATCCATTGATGTATATTACAAGTAACAGATCGCAAAGAGAAAAAGCATTTGCTATAATTGATGAATTTAATGAATATTTAAAAAATATATCTGGAAAATGCATTGACATAGGATGTGGACCTGGAGATGTAACAAAAGACATAATCTTACCGGCTCTTGATCCAAATGCAGTAGTAATTGGTAGAAAATGATAATCTATACAAAATATATAGCAACATATTAACATAAACTGCTTATAAGTATTACTTAAAAATTATATATTGTACAGTTCATTTAATAATTTTATATCTACAGGTACAGATATATCGGAAAGCATGATTGATTATGCAAAAAAAAGATATACTAAAGAGAAACGACTTGAATTTGAGGTTTTAGATATACAAACTAAAAATTTGCCTACAAAGTACGTATCTGAATTTGATCTCGTACTTTCATTCCACACTTTGCATTGGTGCAATGATATCAAGTAAGAAAGATTTTTTAGTAAAGATAATTCCTTTTACAAAAATTTTTATAGAATAACGTTTATGCTTGACATATCTCTCGCGATAATAATATATATATAATTTTCTTTAAATATTATATATAATAAATGTATATTTTATAATATTGCTTAACTTTATATTATAAAATGAAATAACGATATAAATATTAAAAATTAATATTTTTGTATTTGTTCAGTATGTTATTAAAATAGGTATATTAGTAGCTTTGTACAATTCGTAAACATAAATTCTATACATTAGATATACATTTGTGACTCCGCGAGGAGTTTTTTTTTAAAGAAACTACACGATTTGGTATGTTATTTACTTGTCTTGATATATCATTAAATGCTAAACTTTCATGATTCATCAAGTGTTGATCATCCTCGCTCTAATAAAGTGATTTGCTATGTTAATGAAACATTGACATTTAACTATGTATCAAAACATAAAGATAATCCGCAAACTATGTAGTTTCATTAAATACACATTATTGTATATTATAGTACTGCAAATACAAACGTATGTTATGAAATAATGATTAAAATATGTACGATATAGAATAAATTTGACATTTTTAGGTGAATCGTTGGTTTAATTTTGATTTATAAGTTATATATATAGGATATTCCATTTTAAATAATGCATTAAGATTTCTCGAAAACTGTGATAGATACGGAAAAATATTTCAAACAAAAGTTATGTGATTCGGAGGAAGACATAAGAAGGTACTATGGTACTATTGATTTGACCATGGTTGGTGTCGCCACAGCCAAGGTCACATCGATTTTTTTAAATGAAACCCCCTATTTTTCATTACATTTTCTTGTAGCTTACCTCGAGAGTTTTTCAAAACACTAAAATAAAATATATTTTTATTAAGTATTTTTCGAGATAAGGCTCGAAAATTACAGTGCAGTCGTCATTAGCATTACGCAAGTTGTCCGATCGACGACTAAAACCTTTTGAATATTGTTCAGGATTTTACGTAAAAATGAATTTTTAGAGCAAAAATGAAAATAAGAGGAATAATCTAATGGCCTTGATCTTGACAAATGTTATCCAAGATATGATCCTGAACAACATTCAAAAGGTTTTAACTATCGATTGGACACCTTGCGTAATACCAACGGTACTGTAACTTTCAAGCCTTATAGCTTGAAAAGTACTTAATGAAAAATAACTTTATTATAGTGTTTTGAAAAGCTCTTGATATCAGCTATTAAATTCTGCCATCAAAAATAGGGTATTCTATTTAAAAAAATCGATATGACCTTGATCTGACCTTAACGACGCCACCCAAGGTCAAAGCAATGGTACCTTCTTATGTCCTCCTCCGAACCATACAACTTTTGTTTGAAATATTTTTCCGTATCTACCATAGTTTTCGAGAAATCTTAATGCATTATTTAAAATGGAACACCGTGTATGTATATATATATATATATACACATTTATTCCGAATTGTGGTCTATTACTATTCAATCTTACGATCTTACTAATCTTATATCGAAAAGTGGAAATAATGTTCACATTATTGAATTGATATTAATAATCAATTTCATATTGTTGATGCTGATAAGTATCTAATAATATTTTTAAATATCAAGAAATTTATTACATAATATCCAGTTAACGACAATTTCACTAAAATAATTAATGTTAAACCTACGATAATCTATTTAAGCTATTAAATATAAATGTATATTTTTCAGAAATTCATTTTATTTTTTTTCACGTTTATTGAATAGACAGGCGTTTGAGAATATCTATCATATGCTTCGACCCAATGGAACTATGCTTGTATTCTTTGTGGTCTCCCACAATATATTTAATGTTCTTGAAAACTTGATATATGATATCCGTTTTGCACCGTATATAAAAGTAAATATTGTTATTTAGTAATTAGATTATTATTTTGTAACAGTTAAATATATATTATTACTTAATTTTTTGAGGCTTTCACGGGTATTTTCTTCAAAGATACCAGAAGATTTGCGGGTTATCGCCGTGTTTTTATTCATTGCCAATGTTTTGTGAACCATGCTACTTACTTCATCAAAGCGAGGAACGTACTGATACTATATCACTAATGAAGTAGTGAATAGCAAGGTTCACGAAACGATGGCATTAGCAATGAACAAAGACACGACATATTATTAATTATTTTCTATCGTTTACTATTATTTATAAAATGTTCTACATACAGGATGTAAACAAATATACTTGGCCACTTCGAAATTCAATTAATCCTCGCAAGCAATTAAAAGAATTGCTTCAAACACTCGGATTCACAGTTATTCATTGCAGCCATCGGGACATATTTCATCAAGATTCAGATCTGAATGGTTTTTTTTGTAAGTTTTTTTAAAGAGTTATATAAAAATTAATTTTTTTATAATTACACAAACATATAATTATTAATTGCAATATACATCTTAAAATTTTCTTCATTCATTTATTTATTTCTATTTAATTAATTAATTGTTTAAATTTAATTCTAACATTAGATTAATTTATGTCATTGAATTAATTAATTGTTATTATTTTCGCAGCTTCTATTATAGCTTTCCTCGACTTCATTGATCACATGCCATGTGATCGCAAAGAAGAATTCAAAAAAGAATTCGCTGATAAATTTGCAGAATCACAGATTATCTATAAACAAAAAAATAATCAGAAAATGGCATTAGACGTGTATCGTGTACTAATAGCTTTTGCCAAAAAACATGTGACATAATTGTACATACACGTGTACATGTATATATACAATGAATGCAAAAAGTATTCGTACAGAGAAAATATATTTGTTAAAAAAACTTTATTTTTAACTCTATTCAATGCCTCAACAAGTTCTAGATAATGAACAGTATATTAATAAATGATTAATTTCGGAGACTTTACATATTTGTATGCAAAAAATGGACTAAATCTACACTCTGATATTGACGGATTATATAACGCATATTTATCGTTATTGAGTGACATTTAGAGATTTATTTGAGTTTGGATTTATCTAATGACTCTGTATACTATATATCTTTTATTATTTTGTTAATGTTTATCCAAGTTGTCCTTCTGATTATTTATTCATTTAACCTAAGCGATATAAATAGCAGTCCGTTTAAATATGTGCGAGCTTTCTAACTGAAAACACGTTCTCTTAAGAATACATTACATATTTTTATTAATTATATACGTTAATTTTATTTGATGCTCATTAAAGGTTATCCATTGTTTCAAGACAAATCTTTGGTTTCGTCACGGGTGAGTCACATTATTATGCTTTTATTACTCATTAAGTTAATTTTATTTAATTATTGAATATACATACAATATATACAGTGAGTGCAAAAAGTATTCATACATGGAAATTTTTTATAAAAAAAGTTTTATTTGTAGAAAATGAACATTAATTAACAATTTTATACAATATATGAATACATTCTGTTCTAACATAAACAAACGATTTTAGAAGCTAAATTTCTCGACTGTACGAATACTTTTTGAGCATCCAAACAATAAAATTTATAATTTTCGCTTATTTATCGATGATATATTTTCTATAATTAATACACATCTTTTTAGTATATATAATTTTAAGAAATATACAATCTATTTTATTCTTTGTGAATAAATTGTTAATTACCCAGCAAGAAATGATCGTCAATTAAACGTCGAATCGACGTCAAATTGTTGTTAAAATCATCGTATCAATATCGATTTGACGGCAAATATCAATTCGATGGCTCATTTCTCGCTAGATAATATTTATTTTTTAAAAATAAAGTTTTTTTAAAAAATATTTTCTTTGTACGAATACTTTTTGCATTCACTGTAGATCTATGCCACGTTCAAATTTGGCAATTTGTTTGTGACTCAATACTGATGCATCGAGGATGAACGTATTAATTACTAATTGTATATGATTACTGAAGATGACTCAAAATAGAGTCAAAATATTCAATTAATTGTGGATGACATCAAAATAACACAAAAATTATAACATAAGTTTGTATATTACTGCGTTGCGCATCGTTAACCGCATTGTACTCTTATTAGCCTTTTGATTCCTGTGTTTTTGTAGGTATTATACATTTCGAAAATGTACGTTAGTCATAATTTTAAGCGTTACAACGGAGAACATTATTATATCGACTTTTGAATGACTAAATATAAAAATTTGTAAAATAATAATAAATTTTATAATAATATAACAATAACGTAAATCATTTTTTAGTTTAACAAAGGATATAGCAGAATAAGTAGGGAATTTCGGGCCCCGCACATAATCCATCGCCAGGGGGAGCAAAATAAACACTCAGAAAGAATATATTGTACGAAGTTTTATTTCAAAAGAGTCACACTATATCGAAAAGAATATAATTTTTCATTAGTATTTCTTTCTCCGCTAAATCTAAAGGAATCTTTAAAAAAAATTCATGGGTATAAAGAGTATCAGAAAGATTAGAGTAAGAATTTTTTTGTCATTCTTGGCTCAAAATTTAAAAATGTACATTATTTCGCATAAAATAATGATAGTAAATAAATAAATTCTATATATCATGCATTTTTAGATCTAATTGTTTCTTTGATTCTTTAAAAGTGGTATTTTTATTTGTATAAGTATAATTTTAGAAAGTTAGTTAATAGAAATTTATAAATATAAAACGAATTTTGGATTAAATAGCCTTGTAAGTCAAAAACCTGAAGCTTCTTGAAGAAAAGTTTATCACGTGCTTAACAAAGTTAAAAATTGGTCTTTACTTTAAAAGAAATGGAATAAATGCTAAAATCAATTAAATTAATTTTTCTGAAGGAAAAGAATGGAATTCTCGTTGTTTAACCTACGCGAACTATATAATATTAAAGTTTTAAACTACTATCTGCAAAAGTAGGATCGAAGGTAAGTACAATTATATTTAAGAACAACTTAAAGTAAGTGAACTGATATATTTTAAATCGGAAAAATGGCGAAAAAACGGTTTTAATTTTTTTCGACAAGTTGCACCAAATTTAAAAATCTGAAAAATGTGGAATATAATTTATAATAATATTTAGCTACTGAATTACTTTAGAAATGATTAAATATTCACATCATAAAAAATGTGATTTTAAAAATTCTTGAATTTTATAAAAACAGAATTTTGAGCCAAGAATAACAAAAAGTTTTTACTCTAATCTTTCTGATACTTTTTATATCTATGATTTTTTTTAATGATACGTTTAGATTTAACAGAGAAAAAAAATTTTACTAATAAAAAATGACATTTTTTACGATATTTTAAAATGATGTGGCCCTTTTGGGATATGGCTCTTTGGGAAAATTTTGTAAAAATATTCTTTCTCTTTTATGTGTTCATTTTGCTTTATGTAATGGATTACATGCGGGGCCGAAATCTCTTCTTTATCTTGCAGTGCGCTCTTTGATTAGAGTGTTTCTAACATATACAAACCACTATGGTAATTCATATGTATCATAATCTCTTTCATTGGTAATTTCCTCCATAATTTAGCTTTTTATATAAAATTCTGTACACTTAGCTTGTCAAAACCAGATAGTTTCTAAAAAAACTGCTTTCACCTTGTCAATAAAAAATATATTATAATTTAAAAATATGGGACGATTCCGCGCTCATATTTCTTAACGTTATTAGATTAGTTATTTAAAGGATCGATGAAATAATCTTAAAATAATTTTCAACTGTTATTTTTGCAAAAAGATCAATTTTTTGCGCATATATCAACCCAGATAACAAAATGTGTATAAAATCGGGTCATAAGACATTTTTTGCATCTAAAAGACTAGACATCTTATGTCACAACTTTAAACTTTATGTTATTTGGGAATATGCATATCAGTGTTTGCCATCCAAATATAGAAATATCGAACTCACATCGATATCAGCAATATCATATATTATCCAACCGATATTTTGATGTATCACTATTTTTGTTTACGATACCTTGCGATGTGACACATCGAGATTTTTTTCTGTATCGTCCATCCCTATCAGACGCAGAGCATTCCAGAGACTTTTATCGCTCTGGAATAAGAGTCAACGTTATGAAGGGACGCTATAATGCCTGTTTCCGATGAGCAGTGCGAACGTTGATCCGAATTTTGAGTCAAGGAACTTAATCCTAATAACTCGGGACCGGACCACGTATGCGTGCGATCTCTGAAAAGCAATGGGAGTGAGTACGAAATCTTATGGTTTTAAAATAAATGAAAAGAGATGTAGATTATATTAACAAATGTTCAAGTTTATTGTTAAACGCAGCTTGTTAGGCAAATTACAATATTTAAAAATGTATAATGATTAGTATTTGATTTACGTCCTAACATCTATTATTTTAACTTTTGTTTAAAACTAATCTAAAATGTATTTTTATAAATATGTAGGAAAAAAATAATATTACGTTAATGGAAAATTGTTCGGTGTTACAATATAAGTAAATTATGAAAAAGATTTGCACACCATCAAAATATTGCAGTTTGAAATTTATTCTACGGAGATTATAGGATACTGAATTTGTTATAAGGTATTTTTATTGTTGTTATCATTATTATTATTATTAATATTATTCTTATCGTTACTCTATATATTGCTATCATCTTATAAAATCGGAGAATCATAGGCAAGCGTGAATCTGTATGTGTGTGCGAACGGAGAGGCGATATGTGTAAAATTAATCTACTTCATTGATTATGACCGAGGAAGGAGGAAAGAAGTTATGGAAAATACCAACTGGGACTAAATAGGAGAAGGGGGAGAGAGGTTTGTGTTCCGTTGATTCTGTCGATTTTGAGAACATTATTTAAATATTTAATAGAGACATTATTTGAACTAATGAACTATTCGCTCTCTTTAGCGAATTAGTTTAATTTCGGAGACGAATAAAATAATAATAATAAAACTTAGTTTTCTGCTGTCGGAATGTTCATATCAGGGGTCGGAGGTTGAAAAGATAATAATGTTCACTCAATTGAAAAGGCCGCGTACAGACTCTAACGAATAACTATGCGAAACGCGAGTTTTGGAGGAAGTTGTAAAAGCGATATATATACGGATTTTTCAAGAGAGGCTTTTATATTCTTGTTGTGTTTTCCAACTGAGTTTTTGTTGTCGTTCTTGTTCTTGTTCTCTCTCGTTCTTATTCTCGTTGTCGTTCTCGTTTTCTATGTGTTTCGCAATGTCGCGGTTTATATAGACGTTTTCTTAAAGATGGTTCTTTGGTAAGATGTATCGAGTTGGGAAATCGAGGAATCAGGTTGGATTTTTCTTCCCCTTCGATGTGATAATAGTTTTAACTGATCATTGGAAAGCTTTTAAATTTGCTCTGCCCGCGTTGTAAGTTTTGCTTAATTCTTATTGATGATAAGACATCACCTTCCTAAAGAGCTTCAGGTTCACAATCTTTAATGAGTTTCGTTTTGACCTCCTCCGTTTCCGGAGGGAGAGGTACTAAATTATCGAGTTTGTAGATCTCTCAGGTCTTAGTTAAAAGTTGAAAATTATCTACGTTTTATTGAACTGCTGTTCTGTTAGTGATGAGCAAACAGACATTTAGTTAATCCCTAAGATTTAGTTAATCGTGTTATTTAGAAATGTGAATTAGAGTTTTGTTGATTTTTTCGGTATCAGAAGATATCATTATTAAATTTATGACTCTTTCTTAAGCCTATACATAAAACCATTATTGTAAGACGCGCGTGGCATTTGCGCGAGATAATTAAATATCTCACCTTCTCTTGAGTGTCGCGTCTGCGCTATGATTTTTATTATCGCGGAAATTGAT